CCGGAGATTCTTACAGACACGCAGGTTTGGCAGGTTCACGATGGGACTGACAAGCGACCCAAACTTCCAGAATCTGGAGAAATGGTACAAATCAAACGCCGCGAGTCTCAACATGAGGCAGATGTTCGAGGCCGATAAAAACCGATTCCAAAACTTAAGGTACTTTATTTATTCATTTACTTACTAATTTAAATATTCTGCATGAAGCAGCTCATTAGTTTCATGCTATTTTATTTTATATTTTTTTATTATATTTTTAATAATTAGCAACTGTACTTCACAGTTCATGCAGTATAGTGGGCGGAGTCACACGTAGAAGCTGTTTTACTGTCCTGTCCATCATCATTAAATCCCACCGACATTCAAATTCATTACTTTTAAACTTTCATGAAAGATCATATATATATATATATATATATATATATATATTTTACTCAAGTTGACGAATATATTTAACAATCATAGTGATACAAATGCATATAGTCAGTTTAACTATCTGGCTGTACAGGTTTTGTATAATGATTTTATTATATTTATAATGATTTTAATATCTGTAAGCAAGTGATCAAAGAGTTCGTCTGAAGCTGCATGTTTGTCCTCTTTCAACAGCTTAACTTTAAAAACAGATGAAGGAGACATTTTGCTGGATTACTCTAAGAACCTCATAAATGAAGAGGTTATGAAGATGCTTGTGGAGCTGGTAAAGATTTGAGCAGATGAATGTTTACCGAGAATTAAATGGAGTTAGCATGTAAATATAGCAGCTTTTTTCTGCAGGCGAAGGCTCGTGGTGTGGAGGCCTCCAGAGACAAGATGTTTTCAGGAGAAAAGATTAACTTCACTGAGGTATTTCACTGAGGGTTTAAATCAGCATGTGCTCAAATATACATCACATTCCCTGCTTTTATAGATTAAAATGAGCTGAGCTTGTTTGGACATACTGGGATGCATGTGTTTATTGATGGAAACGCTCTGAATTATGCTTTATTTATTTGATATTTTTAATTAAACATAAGCTGCACTTGTAAAATGCTTGACATTCTTCTATACACACTTCATATGAATGTGTTTGATTTTCAGGGAATGCATGAACTGATTCAATGTATATCCTGAATGCATTGCAAGTTGCAGTGTCTACCAAATACATGTAAGTATAGCATGAAGATTGTGTGGTCTGCAGGGTCGTGCTGTTCTCCACGTGGCTCTGAGGAACCGCTCAAACACACCCATAAACGTGGACGGGAAAGACGTGATGCCGGAGGTCAACCAGGTCCTGGAGAAGATGAAAGGCTTCTGTCATGTGGGTGTCATATTTGATGCGATGCTTCATACTAGGACACTTGAATATGAAAATATACACAGATAAACACTGATCAACTATGGAAACTATAAAAAAAAGTGTCTGGGCCAGGATGCAATTATAAACAAAATCTCACTTTCTTCCGTCCGCAGAAAGTCCGCAGTGGCGAGTGGAAGGGATACACTGGGAAGTCCATCACTGATGTGGTTAATGTCGGCATCGGTGGATCTGATCTGGTTTGTGAAATCAAAACTCACTGTTTTACAGCAAATGGTTTTTCTGTTTCCAGTGTCAGATCAGGGGTCTTCAGTCTTTTAGATGCCACTGACCCCCAAAACATTGAAAAGATGTGGTAGTGAAACAATTTTCACTCAGAAATTGCTAGTAAATTTCACAAATAATTTGCATGAGGTAAAACATCAATTTACATGTAAAAAAAAGTGCTTTTTTTCCCCTTCCTTCTTATCAGGTGTACTTGGAATTTTTTAATTTTATGCATAACTTGCCTGATATAATTAATACTGAAAAACTGTCAATGCAAGCTGAAAGCTAGAATTTGAAAGACTAACATGTCAAAAATATAAGTAAAAAAAAAAAATGAAATTTAGAAATAGAAAGACTGAAATAGTAATTTCTTATAAAACACACCAACATAAAACGTTGTTTTAGTTACAACTTTGATTTTCTTTCCATCCTTGTGCAAGAGACACTCATTCTAAAATTTAACAGGCATCTATGTGGTTTATTTTTTATACTGTGAAAAATTAATACTATAAATATACTCTAAATATTATTGGAAAATATTTAGTTTCTGTTAAGTTACAATATTACATTGTTTTTCCAGATTTATTATTTATACATTTAGTCATTCATGTTAAACAATTTTTTTATTATTTTATTTTGTTGATATGTTATTTGTTTGTTTTAAATTAAATGTATTTATTTTAATTAAATTATTTATTTAAATATTTTATTCATATTTGTATTATTTATTTATAAATGTACTTATTCATTTCATTCAAATTTTCCTTTATTTGTTTGTTGTAAATAATTCTTTATTTATTTATTTTAATCAATCAATTTATTTATGTATTTGAATCATTTTTGTGTGTGTTTCAGGGTCCATTAATGGTGACAGAGGCCCTGAAGCCGTACTCTAAAGGCGGACCTCGTGTCTGGTTTGTGTCTAACATCGATGGAACGCACGTCGCTAAGACTCTGGCTGAACTCAACGCTGAGACCACACTCTTCATCATCGCATCGAAGGTCTGAGCAGGACGCAGCTTTCAGAGACTGAACAGATTATACAGCATTGGCAGAGACAAAAATATCACATTTAGATTTTACTATGACTCTTTATAAGTTCACTTGATAATATGTATCACAGTGAGATTTCTGTATAAAAAAATAGTTGCACTGATAACGTTGTGAAATCGTTTGTTCAGACATTCACGACCCAGGAAACCATCACAAACGCTGAATCAGCGAAGGAGTGGTTCCTGCAGGCCGCCAAAGACGTGAGTCTCACCTCCTGCAGCGACGTGTACGGGACGCCTGTGTCACGCACTTATTCTTCTGTCATTTTTATCATTCTCACAGAAATCTGCAGTGGCCAAGCATTTCGTGGCGCTCTCAACCAACGGAGTAAGTGCATTATAGTTTAAATGTAAAGGCTCATATCATCAGGAATTCAAATTTGTTCATAAACCATATTTTGTAACTTTCAAAACTCAAAACAGTCCAAAAAGAGCATTTATTGAAACTAAACTGCAAAAACCTTTTTCATGTAAAAAGGCAAAGCAAGTTTTTTTTTTTCACAATTTATACGGCACTTTTCAAATACAGCTGTAATTCAAAGTGCTTTACAGAAAATAATTTAGGAATATAAAATTATTTATTTTTTAAAAAGGCATTTACATAGAAGTCTTAAAGCAAAAAAAAACAAAAGAAAAAAACAGCTGTTTTGTTGTTTTATGACTGTTTTTGCTACATATTGACCAGTACTGCATTATAACCTCAGGGAGAAAAATCTAAACAATCATTCTTCCAGTAATGTAAAATAATTAACGTTAATGTTAAAAAGTTCAGAGAACATTCAAATGTAACATTCCCATAATGTTTGCAAAATGCTCAAATAGAATGTTCCCTTGCATTATCAAGAAAAAAAAATTTTTTTTGAAACATTTAAAAAACTGGACACTTTGAATGTTCAGAGAACATCAGAAATAACGTTTTCATGACTTAATGAGTACATTAGCAAATCCTTCTTAGAAGTCTTAAAGCAAAAAACAAAAACAAAAAAAAAACAGCTGTTTTGTTGTTTTATGACTGTTTTTGCTACATATTGACCAGTACTGCATTATAACCTCAGGGAGAAAAATCTAAACAATCATTCTTCCAGTAATGTAAAATAATTAACGTTAATGTTAAAAAGTTCAGAGAACATTCAAATGTAACATTCCCATAATGTTTGCAAAATGATAAAATCAAACGCTCCCCTTAATATTGTCTTTAACGTTCACATAACCAAGACAAACATATTTTAAGCATTTAAAAATGTAACATTCCCATAATGTTTGCAAAATGCTCAAAT